GTATTTTCGAGGTATTTCCTCTTAATTTTATCTTTTTTTTTTTTTTTTATAAATCACATATCCAATAATTCCCATTTCCACAATTACACTAATTGCTATAGCTGCAACGGTTGTCTTACCCAAACCCTTATTGCTTTCCTTTTTCCCAGCAGGATTATTTTCTGGCTTTGGTTTTGACGGATCATTTGGAGGAGGATTTTCCCTATTTTGGCCGTTTGGAAGTGGTTCATCGGGTAAGTCCTCCCACTTTCCTTGCTGGAATTTCTGATAGGCTTCTTGTAAAAGTTTTAATTTGCTTTCTAGCCGAACAATTTTGTCTCCGACCTCACCGATCGCCCTTTTTTCATGAAGTTCTTCCTGGGTTCGTTTAATTTTATTGGTTAATTTCTTAATTCATTTTTCCCGATTATCATTTTTGGTAAATAATTCCGGTCGGTTTTTCAACATTGTTTCAAAATGAGTTAATTGTCAAGCAGTAAAGTCGTAGTCAAAAGAACGAAGTTGGTCTTGAATTTTTCGGACTTTGGCTTTGGGAACAAGTGGCTGACAATCAAGCAACATTAATCCATGGTTGCGTTTTTCATCAAAACCAGATAAATATTCCAAGCCACTATCAACATCAGTTCCCGCAATACAAAGAATAAAAGTTAATTTGGTTAGATTTTTTAAGGGTTTTAAAGAGCCATAAAAACGATTATAAACACCTTCTTCGATTTTTTCTTTTTTCGTTCCAAGTTCCAAAAATTTTAAGTTAATGAATCGACTAAATACATCTAGGGTGGTTGATTGAAAATTGTTTCGGGAGAGATTTAATCGTTCTAATTTATCTGGATTAGGCAATTGTTTTAAAAAGTCAGTAGAGGTAAGTAAATTAGCATGGAGGTTAAGCGTTTTAAGTTTAGAGCAACCAGCAACATTTAAGGATTTTATTTGATTTTCAACTAAAACAATTTCGTTTAAATTAGAAAGACCATTAACATCCACTTCGGTCAAGGGAGTTTTTAAATCTTTTGAACCTCCTTCAATTCAAACTTTCTCTAAATTTTTATACTCTTTCAAGTCCAATCTTCCCCCCTCCAATTTTTTTCCAATTGTATGATAATTGAGAAATTTCAATTGTTCTTTGGCTTCCTTGGTAGCATATTTGCTATCTAGTCATTTTTGTAAAGTTGTCATATTCTTAATTTAATTTAAGCGGTTGATATAAGTGTCCTTCTAATAACTTCACTTTAACCTCATTCAAGGAATTAAAATCTAACAAATTATCATAATTTAATTTTTCACTTTTAATATTAAAAATTTCAAAAATCTTTTTGCTAGTTTCAGGGACAAGGCAGTTTAGTAAGTAAGCGACAATTTTTATTCCATTAGATAAATAATTTAGAATATAGTTTAGAAGAACAATATCTTCCTCTTTGGCTAGTTTTCAGGGAGTTAAATCAGAAATTAATTTATTAGTTTCATCAAGCAGAGTTTGAATTTGAGAAAAAGCATTAGTGAGTTCATAATTATCCATTTTTTTTTGAAATTCTTTTACTGTAAATTCGCATTTTTTTTTGTATTCCGCCAATTTTTCATTTTTTAATTCCTTTTCTAATGGAGGTATAACACTTTCCCGATAAAGTTGCAGCATTTTATTGACTCGCGAGACCAAATTACTTAAATTATTCACCAAAAAATCCCGGTAAAAGTCTTTTAACAAATCCTCATCACAAACTCCATCTTGCAAAAAAATTATTTTTGCCACGAAATAGGCTCGTAATAAGTCGCGGGGATATATTTTTAATAATTCCAATGGGTCAATAACATTCCCTTTGCTTTTGCTCATTTTTCCTTGGGGGGTGGTTAATCAACCATGAGCCAAAATTTTGTTTGGTAATTGTTTATTCAAGGAAAAAAGAATAATCGGTCAATAAATAGCATGAAAACGAGTAATTTCCTTCCCAATAAGATGGACAATTTCACAAGGCTTCAATTTTTTTAGTAAATATTCGGTTACCTTATCTGGAAGTTGAGAATTAATTTTCTCTATTTCGCTTATTTTAAGAAACTTGATTTCTCCAATTGTTTCTTTTTCTTTAATTAATAGTTCCCCTGAATATTTTTTGGTTCGATAAAAATGGAGTTTTCACCAATTATTATTGACATAAAAATACTCCTCACCAAATTTCTCTAAATTATTAATTACTAAGTTAGTTTCCTCAAAAATTTCCCTTTTGGCCGCTTCTTCTAAACTTTCGTCTGGTTCTACTTTGCCACCTGGGAATTGCCAGTTGTTAAATTTCTTATTATAAATCAAAAGAAAATCATTATTTTTGTTTTGAATAGCTACGCAAGCAACTTCTTTTGCGTTGTCAATTTTCTTTTTCTCAGAAAGTTCAGGAAGGAAAAATTTTTCCCCTGGTTCAGAATTAAGATAATTAAGCAAAGCCTCAAATCAAACATAAATCACCATTTTCTCATTATTAGGGACCGGAATACCTCATTTAATATCGCTGCGGGTAATACATAAATTGCGAATATCATTTTTTAGAAAATTTTCAAATAATTCTTTTTTGATGCTAAGGGGTAAAAGGAAATCAGGATTTTGCGAATAGTGTTTTATTAATTCATGATAATATTTGCTAACTCTCAAAAAATAAGCCGGTTCGTTAATCTTTCGTAATTCAGACTGGCAATTAGGAGCCGGACAAAGGTTATCACCAGAAGTTTTGCCCTCACTCACATAATCCTCACAAGCAACACAATATTTGCCTTGATATTCACCTAAATAAATGTCACCCTTGTTTAATAATTCTATGAAAACTTTTTGAACTTTTTCTTTGTGGGCAAGAGAAGAGGTGCGATAAAAAATGTGTTCAGAAATGCCTAATTCTTTCCAGAGTTGCTTAAACAAGAGAATATTTTTATCGACTAATTTCTGAGGAGAAATTCCTAACGAATTAGCTTTTTTTTCAATTTTCTCTCCATGCTCGTCGCTACCGGTTTGGAAATAAACTTGATAGCCTTGACTTTTTTTATAACGAGCAATGACATCAGCCAGAACCATCGCATAGGCATGCCCCAAATGTAGCCGGTCATTAGGATAGAAAATTGGAGTGGTAATGTAGAAAGATTTTGACATATATTAAATAGTTTTTGAAGGCACATTACCTTTTTCACATTAAATTTCCGCTCCCTTAATTGTTGTTTAAATTATGTTTAGTAATTCAGTCAGTTTCAAAAGCGGAAATTAATTATTAAAAAGGTAGTCAACAAGTGTAAAATATAAATTAATACTAATTGTGATTAAAATGCTTAAAAAAGGCAAAAAAAACATTCTGCTTTCTTTTATATTTTCTTTTCATTTATTAGGAATTATTTCATCACTTTTGCGTCCCAAAAGAGGACAAGATTTTCATCTTGGTTTTCACCTTCTTCGCTTTTTTTCTTGGTGGTCGGTTCATGCCTCAATTTTAGACATTTTAGCAATAATTTTAATATGATGAGAAAAGAAAAAAAATCCTTCTTATTTTTCCCAACTCCTTATCCTTGTTGCCACGATATATAATTTAGTTATATTTGTTTTTATCTTATCCTATTTTCTGGCCGGAAAAATAAATAGTTGTGGCTTTTGTTTAGACTTGCAGTTATTTACTTGGCATTTTGTTGCTCCTCTTTTAACCATTCTCTACTTCTATTTTTATGCTCGGATAGATAAATTAAAAGCAAAATTAATAATGACTTTATCACTTGCTCTTATTAGCCCAATTTTTTATTTTTTTTATGTTTTTACTTTGGCTAAAATCAATAATAAACCAACAGGTAGTTTATCTCCCTATATGAAAAAGTACCCTTATTACATTTTCGAGTGAATAGTTGAAAGAAGGTGAAATATTCTTATTATTAACTTTTTAATTGCCTCGTTGGTCTTTATTTCTCTTTGTTCTTTAATAATTTGAACTAAATTGACTTCTGACAAAAAATTAAAAAAATAGAGAAAAGGCCTTTTGTAAAAATTTCCAAATTGGGAGCACGGGCGTTTTAATCTTTTCTTTCTTATCAACAGTATTCATTATTTGATAATTTTGGGGAAGCTTTTTTTAAATTCAATAAACCCTCCTGGTTGGGGATCTAAGTCGTTTATTTCTTTTATTTTGTCTTTTCCTTAAGGAAAATTATTTCTTTAATCTTCCTTCGATTACTGTTTTCATCAATAACTGTAATGTTCATTGACAACTTAAAAACAACTGCTGCTCCTTCCTCTATCTTTTCTAATTTAAATGGTTGGATTTCTCTTATTCTTGTCATATTGCTAATATCTATATTATTTATTCTAATAATTAATTATCCTCACTACCATTTTTTTTCTTGCTTGTAACATTCTCATTTACTTCCAACTTGTCAATTCTCCTTAGGCTCTTCTAATAAAGTTTCGATCATTCTTGGAATTTTTACCTAACTCCACTTCTCAACCATTATCATAATTTTAGAAAGTGCTGACATAAAAATTATTAATTATGAATATCTATCAAAAAATTGAATTACTACCCTATGAAAAATATGAAAGAATTAAGTTGGAATATAAACTTAATGAACTAGAATGAATAATTTCTTTCCATACCATGCGTTTTCATTACAACATTCTCCACAAAAACTATGAAATTAAACTGCTGGAAACGCTTCGGGGAAGAAAAATCAAGGAAGAGTCTGAAATTGAAAAGCAATTTCCTACTTTGATAAAGTTAATGGAAAACTTGGAACAGTTGCCAGAGGAAATAAAAGAAAATGTTGTCTTCTTTGGCGGTGGACTAATTAATCACAATTTTTTCTTCGCTCACCTGGCTAAATTTAAAGTTCAACCCGCTGACTACCAGGTTGAGAAAAGAATTAGTTATGCCTTGCTGAGCCTTATTAAAGCAAAATTTACTGACTTTGTAAGACTGAAAAGAGAATTAGTAAAAAGTGCCTTGCGGGTGCGAGGAAGTGGTTGAACCTGATTAGTGTTAAATAAAAATGGTGAATTAGAGATTATTAACACTGAAAAACAAGATGGACCATGGGCTTTGAATTTAAGGCCCCTAATTGCCATTGACGTTTGAGAACATGCTTACATGTATGATTATGGTGCTAATCGCCAAGAGTATGTTGAAAAATTAATTAACCACTTGCTAAATTGAGAATATATTAGCCAACTTTATCTAAATTACACTTCTAATTAAACAGTAATTTTTTCTTAATTCAAGTTTCTAAGGAGAGGGCGGAAATGTTTTAAGGGTTCGTTGGATTTAGATAAGATCTTTTTTCCCTTTGGAGAAGATATTCCCGATGACCAAAAAGTTTAACCCGAGCAGTATTGACTGCAAACCTAACTAACCCTCCAAAGAAAAAGATTAAATGATTACCAACACTACTCATACCAGTCAACCTCATAAAGCCCATTGCAAGTAAGGTAATTATAAGACTGGCTGCTCAGCCTTTTGCCACACAGGATTTTAATTCCTGGATAGTTAGCAAACGACCGTGGTGTAAGAACTCAGTGCTAATGTTTGAGAGGAACAGGGAGAAAAAAATAAGAGGAACTCAAATTCATCATCTGGTTCCCGGCGTTCCGGACTGAAACAAAGGATTCGTGCGGTCAAAGAAAGCGGGGTGAACAGAAAGGAAAAAAGTAAACAACATCATCATACAACCATTAAAAAGAGCATATTTAAATAAAGAGGAGGCTTCCAAGTTTAATTGTTCTCTTTCCTCAACGCTTAAAGAAGGGTCACGGGCTTTTTCTATATTTTCTCACATTACTGTCGTTTCCGAAAAGTAAATTAAAACTAAAACTATTTCAATAATTAATAATTTAAAAATTATCTCCAAAGATGTTTTCCAAGCAAGATGATTTCCCTCCTGCAACCCCAACAATTTACTAACTTTATTAAGTGGAGAAGCAACAAAGAACTTCAAGGGGTCATGCGATACCCTTTCCCCTAAGTTTTTGTGGTCATCTAATTCCGTAATATTTAACTTATTTTCTTTTAATTGTTCTTTAATATTATCAATAGTTTTATCTCTGGCCTCCTGGAATTTTTTATCATATTCTTTTTCCTTTTTTTCAAATGCTTCTTTTTCTTCCTTAGTAGGATTCTCTTTTTTTAGTTTTTCCTTTGCTTGGTAAAGTTCTTTTAATTCAGGTAATAGTTCTTTTCACTTCCGCGGAAGTTTTTTGCCATCTAACTCTTTCTTTTTTTTTTCTTCAATTTGACTTAATACATCATCCTCAATTTCTTCAATGTTTTTTTCCTTTTGCTCGTTAAACAATCCTGTGAAACGTTGGTACTGACCAGTTTTACTATCAGGTTTTATTGATTCCTTTTTTTCTTCTTTCTCGACGTTTATTTTGCTTATAGCTTCCTGGTAGTTAGCACAGTTAGCATAGGAAGTAAACCAAAGAATTCAGTGTAAGAAAATAACCAAAAAAAGTATCCGCAAACCATTTCGTAAGAAATTGACTATTTTGTTGATTTTATTAGTAAAGCTTGATTTTCCTTTATGAGGCATATATTATATTATAATTATTTTTTTGTTGCCAGAAATTAATTCTTGTCATTGGACTGCCTCTTCATTCGGTCGACTAAATCGAGTAATTTATAAAGATTTTCTTGGTTAGTAGCGAAATCATTTTTTAAGTAAGAATAACGAACAATGATAACCAAGTCAGAATGGGAATGTTCAGCACTTGTTTGACAACTGTTAGGCTGTTTTTTTTCTTCGGATTTTAAATGAGATATTAGCATTGACCTCACTTGCCGCTTGTAAAAATTACGTTTCGTGGCCAGTTTAACTAATTTCATGGGTATGCTAATACCAAATCGGCAATTATTATGATTGTTGGTGGTGAAAAAAATAGTAAAACTGGAGTTAAATATCTTCTGCCCTTCTTCCACAATTATGTCTCGAAATTGTCAATCTTTTCGTAGGCGGTAGGGTTTTCACAGCATTGAACTTATATATTAAAATTTTAGGAAATAGAAAATTATTGTCAGAAAAGCAAAAATTAATTTATTATGGCAAGAAAAAGAAATTGTAGGGACTGCAAAAAAGAACTAACGGATAAATATTTTCTTTTCACTGGAACTTTTCCTTTTTCTGGTGAAGAGGGAGATGGAACCAGAACATCAGCAAGTAGAGCAAATTATTGTGCTTCTTGTCGTGATAAATGAAAAGAGAAAGTCAAGGAGTATTATATAAAAAATGGACTAACTAAAATAATTGAAAAGGAAGTAGGGGACAAAATAGAAGACGAAATTAGCGAATTTGAGGATAAGTGAGAAAAACACCACACATTAGGCATAAAATGGAATCTTCCTGATAACAAAACCTTATTAAATTCAATTCGAAAAGCCCGCCAAGAATTAGAACCCTATTTACAAAAACCCGAAATAGTGGAAAAGGCCTGAATGAAAGGATACCAAGAAACTAACTTGCTTTCAATGTCTTTTCATTACCTTTTTAAAGAGGATGCTCGGAATAAAGATTATAAGCAAAAAGTGGTTCAACCTGTCGTAGAGGAAATTTTAGGGGGAAAATTAGATGAGGAAATTAATACTGAACTAGAAGGACATATTCCTGGGTATTGTGCTGGTCGTGCCGAAGGAAGTTTTAACATTAACGGCAAATCAGTGAGTAAATATTGATGGTTAGATGGAGACGAAGATGATTATCACCGCTTAGATATATCATTTTTAGAGGATAACAAATTAGCCCTCCAAGCCTTTTTACGAGCCTTGACAATTAAAGAAAAAGAACTAAAAAAAGAATTGCCAGAAGAAAACAATTTGCCAACTAATGATGACAATAATTCCCCACTACCAGATAACTCTCCACATCCACCACCAAAACCAAGCAGCAATGGGAGCAATAGCCCTCCACCTAATGAATCTAATTACACTTTATGAATAATTTTAGGTGTAGGGGGTATTTTGCTTATTGGACTAATTGCTTATTTTTACAAAAAAAAAAAAAAAAAAACAATAATTTATCTTTTTTTTAACAATATTGTTCCTTTTGTCCCCAGTTTCTTAAAATCCTTAATATGAAGTTCAAAGTTGATTGGGAAAAACTAAAAAAATTTTTTCTTTGGTTAGTTGGTCGGCATTCGGTCGAACTTGCTCCACCCATTAGATGCCGAATTCATAAGAGGAATGAAAAGTCACTACTGGGAAAAGCCTACTATTTTTGTGATTTAAAGAGTTGAAAAATCAAAAGTCCTCTCGAAGGTTTTGTTAGCAAAATTTACCCTAATTATGCCATTCAAATCATTAATAAGGAAGGATTACAAATAATAATAGACATTCAATTCGACAGAAAAAATCCGATGCCTCTTAACAAAATATTGCAGTGTGAAGTCCAAG